AACTGCTATTTAGTATGGGTTTCAATATGCTCCTGGTGTATGTTTCCCAGATGGGTTGAAGCCTTCCCCTACTGAAAGGCTGATACCGCCCTAACCGGTTTGCCTCAGTGGATGGAGCATCCGCCTGTAGACTCAAGGGTCCCAGGTTCGATTCCGGTCAAGGGCATGTACCTTGGTTGCGGGCACATCCCCAGTAGGGAGTGTGCAGGAGGCAGCTGATCGATGTTTCTCTCTATCCCTCTCCATTCCTCTCCATAAAAAAAATCAATAAAATATATTTTAAAAAGAAAAAAGAAAGGCTGATACCCTCACAGTGGCAAAGACAGTGTTTGAAAATGTATTTCCCACTTAGTGTATGCCTTCAACAAACTCTGAGCAAATCATATGAACTTTTAAAAAAATTAATGATTTTAGAGAGAGAGAGGAAGGGAGAAAGATAGAGAGATAGAAACATCAATGATGAGGAAGAGACATGGATCGGCTGCCCCCTGCAAGCCCCCTACTGGGGATTGAGCCCACAATTCAGGCATGTGCCCTGACCCAAATCAAACCGGGGACCTCTTCGTTCATGGGTTGACACCAGCCGGGCATAAATCATAATGAACTTTGATGGCAGACTTGAACACTTGCAATTATCACTGACCCTATCACTCAATTATCAGGCAAAATTGAGAGAACTAATGGGAAAACGGATTCAAGCAGAAATTTCAGTTAGATGGGGCTGAATGAACTGATGAGAATGGTTACAATATTTATAACTTTTTGTTTGAAATATTGCTGGATTTTTTTTTCAGATATAAGAAAAACAATTTTCTAAAGCTAGCTATGACTTAGAGCAATTTGGTAAACTATACCTTTGTAAACAGAATAGAAACATTTGTCCTTTTCTCTTGATTCCTCTAGAATTTGGAAATTCTCAGTGAGTGTTCTCATTTTCATGGCAATATTGTTATTTGCATAAGTTCAATAAAAATCTGTTCGCCTCATAACAGAAGACAGTTGGAAACTAGTTATGTATCAAGGATTTGACTGGAATGTCATATTTGACTCAGATATGACCAGACAGCTTTAAAATTGACTGATGGAAGCCAATAAAAACCCTTTGAAATATTGGCATAGTACCTTGCTTACCTAAGTCATCAGCAGCCTTAGGAGGTGAGTAAATGTCATTTCTTGGCAGGTACAGAAGCTTCAGGATATTTTGAGGAATTTGAGAAAAGAGGAACTCACCCAAATCTATACTATTGCAGGTAAGGTCTGGTGGCAAGTTCTTGACATGGCTTTTCTGGCCTCAAGATGCCTTTTTAAGTTCAATCTGAAGATTTCTTATGGAAAATTTCAGCACAGCATTGTTAAAAGAGCCTTTCTGCTTAATGACTACTCTTGCTGGACTTATACAACTAATCAGGCCAAGTTTATTGAAATTACTTATTTTGCAAAATGAATTAGACTTAACCTGGCTATCTTTGGTAAAAGTAATTATTTTAGAGGGAAAAATTATGTTTCAATAGAAACTACAATATACCTTTGTGGATATTATATTCTAATGCTGTTCATTATTTTTTGAGTTTTTTGTTTTCTTCTTGTAAATGGATTGGATCTTCAACTATCCTAGGTTCCTCCAACATCTGCCTATGACTCTCCAGACAAATGTTTCCAATTTTTCTTTCATCCTTTGACTTGGAATCATTGGGAACTGCAACTGCCCTTTTCCCAAGGCCATGTGAGCTGAAGATGGAGAACTTGATAATGGAGTTCAGAGAAATCACCACAACAGTTCCTATATAGACAGTCATTCTGCCTATTACAGAAAGATCACCAGAGACATTCATACTGCAGACCAGGAGAATCTATCAGACTGTAACTACCTGTCCTCACTCAATCTGATGATGATTCGAGACATATTTAGAAATCTTCTCAACTGCCTGCCTTCAGAACTCAGAAACAGATTATAGTCTGCTTTTTTCTTTTGTTTCCATAGAGATGCTTTTTATTAAATACCAGCACTGTCCTTGCACCATAGGCTTAATTTTAGGAGCCCACTGGCATCACTGCCTCCTGAAATGAGATACAACTGTTTACCTGAACTGAACCTTTCTCAAGAGTGAGGCTATTGCCCTAGCAGCTAGGGCCTAGTTGGTTCGGCTCAGTGGATAGAGCGTCAGCCTGCTGACAAGGGTCCCGGGTTCGATTCTGGTCAAGGGCACAGGCCCAAGTTGCGGGCTCAATCCCCAGTGGGGAGCATGCAGGAGGCAGCCGATCAATGTTTCTCTCCTTCTTCCTTTCTCTCAGAAATCAATAAAAATATATTTTTAAAAAAAGACTATTAACACCATTTCTGGAATGTGAAACTTCCAGGGTCAGGAAGGAACTGTGGGGGTTCAACATGTATTTGTGGTATGTGGATTGTTTTTGAGCTAAAGGCAGCTTTTAGCTGTGGGCTCCTGAGAAACTTCTACTCTGCAAATACTTAGAAGAACTTGGATTGGGGGTTTTGTCCATGATAAGAGGTTATTATCTAGAGCAGGGGGTCCTCAAACTTTTTAAACAGGGGGCCAGTTCACTGTCCCTCAGACCGTTGGAGGGCCGGACTATAGTTAAAAAAAAAACAACTATGAACAAATTTCTATGCACACTGCACATATCATATTTTGAAGTAAAAAAACAAAACGGGAACAAATACAATATTTGTATTTGCATGTGGCCCGCGGGCCGTAGTTTGAGGACCCCTGATCTAGAGGGCAGGGCAAACTACTAATTAGTTACTAAACCTGCTCTCCCTGCAATGGCTCTTTGAATCCCCAAGGCACCTTGCCTCCTCGCTACCTCAGAATGTCTGATATACCCATTCTCCCTTTCTGTCTTCGAACCTGTCACGCATGGGGGGTCTCTGACTCTCGTATGTATGCGTGGTTTCCATAAATATGTATGAATTAAATTTGGTTATTTTCTCTTGTTAATCTGACTCATGTCTATTCGGTTATTAATTAGACCAGCTGAAAGAACCTTGAGGGTAGAGGAAAGTTTCTCCTTTCCCACACAGATTACAAATTTTTGGCAGAAATGCCACAAAACTGATGTTGTGTCTTTCTCAGTGCAATATCAGGGAGCATATGATGTTTTCCTCATTACTGGTGAAGTTAACTTTGGCCACTTAAGATAATTTAGTGTGTAGTGTTGACATTCAAGCATACTAATTTGTATTCTTTTCTGGCCAAATGACTTTCCTTGTTCTTTATTTGAATGCTTCCTCTTGTAGGAGGAGAAAAAGTTTCCCTCAACATTCGTAGGGTCCCTGGGTGGGTCTGAAAATCAAACTGATAAAGACAGATAAAAAGGAGAAAAGCATAGACATTTATTTGTTTCACATGTGACTGCATCAATCAATACATGACACGGGAGTCTTCATAAGGAAACAGTGACCTGAAGAGACAGTTAGACCGGAGTATTTTTATGCTGTTTGTTGAAGAGCGGGCAGTTGTGGAGGAATAAGTAATAGGAGGTAACTGTCATAAATTGGGGGAGACCTAGCAAGGCCCGTTTGTTCTTCCTCCAAGCATAGGGATGGTACCTCTCACATGAGGTGTTTATGACCTGGTCCAGGTCAGGGGAAGGTCTGAGTGGCTTTCCTGCTTCTGTTTTCTCAGATTCCAGCTTTAAATATTCAATATGCTAGGTGCTATGTTTTGGGGTAGCTTGTCCTGAAGCTCATCATTCTACACCCACCAATGCTATTAGAGGACCGTAAGAAGAAGAAGACACATTGAAAGGAACTTATTTTCATCAGTGATAATAATTTGTTAGGGTGATACCTTGTATAGTCCTTTGAAGCTTCCTAAGCACTTTTGCATAGTCCAGTGATGGCGAACCTATGACACGCGAACTCATTTTTTTGGTTGATTTTTCTTTGTTAAATGGCATTTAAATATATAAAATAAATATCAAAAATATAAATCTTTGTTTTACTATGGTTGCAAATATCAAAAAATTTCTATATGTGACACGGCACCAGAGTTAAGTTAGGGTTTTTCAAAATGCTGACACGCCGAGCTCAAAAGGTTCGCCATCACTGGCATAGTCTATTTTATTTAAAATATCCTAATAACCCTCTGGGGGTGGGGTGGGCTAGTATTTGAATTAGAGGAAGAATTAGAATTACAGAATTACAGTGTACATCTCTGTATTGCCATGATAGGGTTAAGTCAAAAGAATGCTTAAATAGTTAAAGGCTATTTTAGGCAGCGACTCCTGTCTGCTTTCTGAGAAGCCACTGAGTCAGGAAGACAGGGGAGAAACAATTTGGGAGGATACTGGGGCGGAGGGATGGCAAAGAGGAAGAGGGGACACAATTAGAATTAGGATTCTGGACACAGCTGGGATTTAGGAATGCTGTCTCCTGGGCCTGGGGAAGTGAGAGGAAACGGGCAGAAACTGGTCTGGGCAGAGTTGAGTCTGGGTTTTGGTTGGGGATCCGAGGGTGGTTGGGGGGGCGCCCAGCGGCGAGTGGAGCCCGACCGAGAATGGGGCGGGTCCTATCCCTGGATCGGCCGGGTCACAGCGAGGCCACAGGTGGGCGTGGCCGTCATGGGCGGGCCCAACCTACGGGAGGGCGTGGCCGACATCCGCCGGCGGTCCCCAACCTGGCCTGCCAGGGCCGCGGGGCGCACTTCCTCGCGTCGCCGGTAGAGGGCGCAGGCCGCGGAGCCGCGCGCAGAGCCGGGAAGCCGGGAGGAGCGGGTGCGGCCCCACTCGCCCCAGCCGCCGCCATGAGAGCCGTGGTGCAGCGCGTCACCCGGGCCAGCGTCACAGGTCAGTCGGGCGGGGCCGGGCCGGGAGGAGCCGCCCCTGACCCCGCGCCCGCAGTCCCGGCCGCCCCCGCCGCTGTTTCCCCGCACGGTCCCCGGGCCGCTCTGTGCCCTGCGGCCCATTCGCGAGCTCGGACCCCGGCCGGGCTCGGGGCACCGCCACGGCCCCAGATCGCTGTCCTTGTGCCTGGGGGGCCCAGCGCGTCCCTGGCTGTAGAGTCTCCTCTTTGGGTTCAGGATAAACACACCTTATGATTCTTTTTACTTCGGTCCTGAGTACAGAGTGGCAGAACCTCCGGGAAACCCCATGGCCCGTTGTTCAGTGGAGTGTTGCACAAACACGTAGGGAGCATTTCTGGAGCAAGAACATCCTCCTTTTCAACATTCTGTTTTAAATCCCCCCCTTTCCCCAGTTTTTACACGTCTTATTTTTTATGGAGCTTGACTCCCAATAAAATGCACAGATGCGAGGAGCTGCTTGTTCCTGTGGATGAGCTCTGACAATTGCGGACTCCCACGTGACCAGCCCCGGGCCAGCTCCAGAGCGTTTCCTGCCGCAGGACATCCTCTTCCTCCCTCGCAGGACCCTGCAGGAATGGGATCAGAACCCAAGGAATTCAGGGCGAAATATTTCTCTTTCCCACCAATTTCTTGTGCGCCACGCCACCCAACCATTAGTCATCACTTGATCACTGTAGTCCAGTGGTTCTCAACCTTGGCTGCACATTAGAATCACCTGGGAGTCTTTTTAAAATCCTGACTTCTGGGCCTCACCCTCCGGAAATTCTGTTTCTTTGTTTATGGGGTAGAGCCACAACATTAGTAACAAAGGATGAGGCGCAGAAATCAGGATTTTAAAAAGATTCCCAGGTGATTCTAATGTGCAGCCAAGGTTGAGAACTACTGCGTAGTCTAATTTGTACAGTGATTACTGTTAACCGGGTCCAGATGATTCATGTAGATAACGTAGGCGTTTTAAAAACTCAAACCAAGATAATACAGATATTTTTTTAAAAAATTTAATGAATAATTTTAGATTTTTTATAGCCTTTTCTACTTTTATTGGCAGAATTATAATATTATTTCAGTCCAGGTATTCTCCAAGCCAGTCTATATACCAAATATGTGTTCTTGTGTCTGCAAAAAAAAAAAAAAACAATCTCAAAATAAAACAACAAAATTCCCTAAAGAAACAGCCAAATCCAGCAAAACTATATACAGGTGTTTAGATCTGAGATTCAGTTTTTCAACTCTGCCTAATGATTTCTAAGCTCTTCTGGTAACTGGTTTTGGATATGGCCCTGGAGTAATAGGGAATAGAATAACACAGGGATTTATGGAATTTTAAAACAATTTTTAAAGATTTCAGTTAATACTTAAAGTCACTAACCTAGGATAATTCATAGATGAAAAGGTTTTTTGCTTTATGTGGTCATCATCAACAATGACTAAACTTTGGAGAATTTCAGTTTTGATATTCTCTCTCTTGAATTTTCCATTCTGGAATATTGAAAACATGTATTCTGTGAGATTTGCTGAATAGTTTGAGTGATTTTAGTTGACTATTTAAATTATATAATTTTAGTTAAAAACAAACAAATAAACCTACCTGCCATTAAAGAGATAAATGTGAATTGTGGGAAGGTGTTAATAAAATGGGATTCTCTCAGTGCTAGAGGGACCTTGGGGTTAGCCAGGCCTCTGGTTGAATTGTAATGGAAAGAGATTTTTTGTTTCCTTAAAAATGTGACTGGTTCCACCGAAATGTGGCTGTAAGTTAATGACGTTTCATTTCAGGAGTCTAAAGTGTCACTTCCAATATTATGGTTAGGACAGAGTACACGATTAGGAGTCATATCTTATTATGTGACAGACTCACTTTATGAGATTGGCAGGCAAATTTTGTTGCCTTAGCGTGGTTATTGTGATAATCTAATTTAAAAAGCTTGGTTATGAAACATTTCCAGCATATTCATTTGGTTAAATAGGTGAATAGTACGTAATCCCCATGTCCTGTCACTCAGCTTTAGCAACTAAAATCTGAACAGAATCATAGAGCATTGGGAAGAGGATCTAAAATCGATGGGCTTTAATGTGTTAATTCGGGGTGATGAACCTCAAAGAAGAGGTTGATGGGTGATGCCACTTGTACATGGAGACACTGACCAAACATCTCAGATCTTTTCTAGCCTGGTTACCTTTTGTCTAAAATTCTCACGTTGTAAAATTTGGAAATCCCTTTGTCTATAATAAAAGACCCCTTTGAATCTCCTAATTCTTCTGTTTGTTCCAGGAGGAGGGGCAAACTGGTCTAAAATAAGAGAGCAAACTGTCATATATAGGCTTTGGGACATTTGTTTCTTATGGAGACAATACTACATTGTAAAAATGTTGAAGCGTCAGGAAAGTGATTTGAATCACTTCAACTAATGATTCTACTTTTAAAAATCTACTCTAGGAGATAATCCTAATTATAGAAAACACTTTAGAGGGATAAGAAGGCAGAGTACAGAGGATTTTTAGGGCAGTGAAATGACTCATTGAGATACTATAATGGTGGATACATGTCATTATATATGTCTTTGTCCAAATCCAAAGCACCAGGAGTGAACCCCAATGTCAACTATGGACATTGGATGGTTATGGTGTTTCATTGTAGGCTTATCAGTTATAACAAATGTATCCCTGTGGTGGTGAGTCAGTCCATTGCATGGAATGCAACTGTTCTACTGGATGGGATGCAACTGTTAAAAGATGTTTAGGAAAAGCTTATAACATGGAAAAATCCCAATGCAATGTTAAGAGAAAAGATGAGACACAATTTATATACAATATTTACAATAATATTTTTTTCCTGTTTCTAATATTTTCCAATTTTTCTATAATGCATCTTTACTTTAATGGTAGATATAGCTCAATAGACATTTTTTAATTTAATTTAATTTTTTAAAAATATTTTTATTGATTTTGGAGAGGAAGGGAGAGGGAGAGAGAGATAGAAACATCAGTGATGAAAGAGAATCATTGATCGGCTGCCTCCTGCACACCCCACACTGGGGATCGAACCCGCAACCTGGGCATGTGCCTTGACTGGGAATCGAACCGTGACCTCCTGGTTCATAGGTTGACGCTCAACCACTGAGCTATGCCGGCCGGGCATTAGTCATTATTTTTAAACTTTTAAAACATACTTTGGGGAAAATTTAGAAAATATATTGACATTATAAGAAAGTAATATATTTTTTATGACTGAAAGATAGTTCGTTGTATATATGCACCACTTCTTTATCCATTCACCTATTTTTTGAAAAAATATATATATATATTTTTTAAATATTTTTATTGATTTTTTTACAGAGAGGAAGGGAGAGGGATAGAGAGTTAGAAACATCGATCAGCCGCCTCCTGCACACTCCCCACTGGGGATGTGCCCGCAACCAAGGTACATGCCCTTGACCAGAATCGAACCTGGGACCCCTTGAGTCCGCAGGCCAATGCTCTACCCACTGAGCCAAACCTGTCAGGGCTTGAAAATATTTTTTTATTGCTTTCAAAGAGGAAGGGAGAGGGAGAGAGAGATTGAAACATCAATGATGAGAGAGAATCATTGATGGGCTGCCTTCTGCATGCCCCCTACTGTGGATTGAGCCCGCAGCCCAAGCTTGTGCTCTGACCAAGAATCGAACCTGGGAACCTTCAGTCCTCAGGCCGATGCTCTATCCACTGAGCTAAACCGGCTAGGGCTTTATTCACCTATTGATGGACAGTTAGGTTGCTTCATATCTTGGCTATTATAAATAATGTTTCATTGAACATATGGATGCCTATGTCTTTTTGTTTTAGTGTTTTGGGTTTCTTCAGATAAATACCCAGAAATGGAATTGCTGGCCCTTCATTGCCTCTTGTTATTTAGTCTTTGTCTTACAGTCTATTTTGTCTGGTGTAAGTATTGCTAACCCAGCTTTATTTTTTTCACTTTCATTTTTATGAACTATCTTTTTCCAGCCCTTTACTTTCAGTCTGTGTGTGTCTTTCAATCTGAAGTAAGTCTCTTGTAGGCAGCATATCTAAGGGTCTTACTTTCTTATCCATTTAGCCACCCTGTGTCTTTTGATTGGAACATTTTTTTTATTAAGTATTACATATGTGTCCTTATCCCCCCATCGCTCCCCCCCCCACTCCCGTTCATGCCCTCACCCCCCTGGTGTCTATGTCCATTGGTGATTGGAACATTTAATCCATTTACATTTAAAGTAATTATTGATACATATATATTTATTGTCATTTTATTATTCATAAAAAGAATGAAATCTAGCCATCTGCAACATCATGAATGGACCTAGGGTACTGTGCTGAGTAAAATAAGTCAGACAGAGAAAAGCAATGCCATATGATTTCACTTACATGTGGAATCTAAAAAACAAAACAAACAAACAAGCAGACCAGAAACAGACTCATAGATATAAAGAACATTTTGATGGTTGCCAGAGGGATGGGGGTTGGAGGAATGGATGAAAAAGGTGAAGGGATTAAGAAGTACAAAGTTGTAGTTACAGAATAATCATGGGGATGTAAAGTACAGTATAAGGAGTACAGTCAGTAATATTGTAATAACTATGTATGGTGTCAGATAGGTACTAGATTTATCAGGGCGATCACTTTGTAAGTTATATAAATGTCTAATCACAAGGTTATACACCTGAAACTAATGTAATATTATATGTCAACTGTAATTGAAAAATAAAAAAAATTATTGAAATAGAAAAAAAGAAAATACTATTTATTTTTTAAAATATATTTTTATTGATTTCAGAGAGGAAAGGAGAGGGAGAGAGAGATAGAAAGATCAATGATGAGAGAGAATCATTGATCGGCTGCCTCCTGCATATCTCCTACCGGGGATTGAACCTGAAACCAGGCATATGCCTTGTCAAGGAATTGAACTGTGTGACCTCCTGGTTCATAGGTCGATGCTTAACCACTGAGCCACGCTGGCCTGGCCTTGTCAGGTATATTTATAGATACTATTATCTAACAGAAGCAAACAAGAAAATGGCAGAGTTGCCTCTCTTCTAATTGGAACATTAGGTCAGTACATGATAAAAGTAAAAAAACAGCCCTGACCTGTTTGGCTCAGTGGATAGAGCGTCAGCCTGCAGACTGAAAGGTCCCAGGTTCGATTCCAGCCAAGGGCATGTACCTTGGTTGCGGGCACATCCCCAGTAGAAGGTGTGCAAGAGGCAGCTGGTCGATGTTTCTCTCTCATCGATGTTTCTAACTCTCTACCCCTCTCTCTTCCTCTCTGTGAAAAATCAATAAAATATATTTAAAAGTAAAAAAACAGCAATAATCTAATGAGATTTGGCAAAAAGTTGGCCAAAAAGATTAGAAATTATGAAGCTCAGTTTTTGAAGGAAGGATTCGATTTTCCATCATAATGATGCATCTTGGCCTAAGTCCTATGCCAACACTAACAGTAGTAGAGTGTACATTTAACTATAAATACATACACAAATGTTTGGACTAGGAATATATGTTCAGATATTATTTTTATGGATGAGTTGCATGATTTAAAAAGATCTGGAAATCATTGGCTTAGAATGCAACTTTAGTACTAAACTGGGAAATAATAGTTTGCTGACTTGAAACTTAATTTTTAAAGCATGGTTTTTGTGTATAATATACATATATATCCCACGTTCAAAGGCTGTTAAATCGCGTTGTTTACCCATATCTTCAGAAAAAAATCACTTCTACTGTCATGGTAAACAACCTGCTTTCCTATTTATAATGGTCTGGCCCTCTCGAAACTTCAGCACGAAATTATAGCTAATTTGCCTACAAACGTCAGGTGGTCATAATAATCTGGCCACTCAGTGTATTTCTCTTTTCTGGAGTAAGTAGAAAAATTATTTTATGACATGTGTTTTCCATTTTGTGCTATGTATTGTGTTACCAGATTTGCTGATTCCAAGACAAGCAGGCGTCTCTTGAGAGTTAATATAGCTGAGCTGGGTTCTCTGGGCAGGAACACTTCTGTTTTTATAGATTGGCAAACTCCATCAGAGAAAGTTTCAGGTGTCTCAGCCAAGGTCACACAGATGAAAATGTGGCCCTAAAATTCTGCTTAGTGGTTGTTCACTTTAGAGCACATTCATTCCAGATAAAAAATCAGAATGGACATAAGTTAGGATTGTCTTACTGCATTTACATAACTCCTTTCATTTTTGAATACCTGCTGACTTTGTCAAAGAAGTTATAAGAAGTACGTGTGATATTTGAACATTCCTGTGGCTGTTTAAAAGTGTTTCATGGCAACTATTTGGTTCTGAGTCTTTTTTATCTTTTGTTTCCTTTCTAGTTGGAGAAGAGCAGATAAGTGCCATTGGACGGGGCATCTGTGTGTTGCTGGGCATTTCTCTGGAAGATACACAGAAGGAACTGGAGCACATGTAAGATGTGAATTTCTCTCTGTTTGCTTTTTGCAAACAAAAAGCAAAGTCATTGCTCTTTGTTTGTTTTTTAATCCTCACCCGAGTATATTTTTCCATTGATTTTTAGAGAGAGTGGATGAGAGAGGGAAAGCAGAGAGAAATATCTATGTGAGAGAAATACATCGATTGGTTGCCTCCTGCACGAGCCCTGACCAGGGCCCGGGCAGGGGAAGGAGCCTGCAACAGAGGTACATGTTCTTTTTTTTTTAAAAGGGAGGATGATTTATTTATTTATTTTAAAATGTATTTTATTGATTTTTTTACAGAGAGGAAGGGAGAGGGATAGAGAGTTACAAACATCGATGAGAGAGAAACATGGATCAGCTGCCTCCTGCACACTCCCTACTGGGCATGTGCCCGCAACCAAGGTACATGCCCTTGACTGGAATCGAACCTGGGACCCTTGAGTTCACAGGCTGACGCTCTATCCACTGAGCCAAACTGGTTAGGGCGAGGTACATGTTCTTGACTGGAATCGAACCCAGGACCTTTCCGTCCACAGGCCGATGTGTTATCCACTGAGCCAAACTGGCTAGGGCTAAGTCATTGCTCTTTGAATTGAATATGTGGTAGTTGTATCCTACTAGAGCCCCAGTGCACGAATTCATGCATGGGTGAGGTCCTTCTGCCTGGCCGATGGGGGCTGGCCAGCCGGGGAGGGACCACGGGAGGGCTCCAGGTTGTGTTTGGCCCTCTTGCCCAGTCCCAATTGGCTGGACCCCAGCAGCAAGCTAACCTACCAGTCAGAACGTCTGCCCCCTGGTGGTCAGTGCACATCATAGTGACTGGTTGAGCGGTCGACTGAATGGTGACTGATCAGTCGGAATTTAGCATATTACGCTTTTATTATATAGGGTTGGATATAGGATATATGTGCACGCACATACACATACTAGGAACTTCCATAGTATTTTGTTCTTATAAAGTGAGCCCGTTACTTTTATCAGTTTGACATTCGATGTAGTATGGTTATCTTCGTGTTTCAGATGAGGAGACGAGGAAGAGTAACCTGTCAAATGTCACCCACTAAGTGAGCAGCAGAGCAGGAGTACCACTTAGCTTCCATCCCTATTTGCTGCTACTTCTGTGAACTCTTCTCTTAATTAAAAACTGGACCTCTTTTCTTTTTTTTTAAATTTATTTTTATTGATTTCAGAGAGGAGAGGAGATGGAGAGAAAGATAGAAACATCAGTGATGAGAGAGAATCATTGATCAGCTGCCTCCTGCACACCCCCCCATTGGGGATTGAGCCCATTACCTAGGCATGTGCCCTTGATCGGAATCAAACCTGGGACCCTTCAGTCCACAGGCCATGGATCTATCCACTGAGCCAGATCAGCTAGGACTGAGCCTCTTTTCTTATGAATGGTTTCTGTTTTATAATTTGAGAAATATGATGTGGTCCTGTTAATGCATTTTTAAAATGCCCAGCTGTTCATTGTGCAATAAGGATCTGGATCTCGGGGAGGTTAAATTACTTGCCCAAAGTCACATACACATAGTTAGCAAGAAGCCCAAATCCGAATTAGAATCTAGGCTACCTGACCTGGAAGCCAGTGCTCCTTTTACTAAAGTAGGGGGTTCGTCATTGCTGTTGCCCGAATGGCTGTCTTAGTACTCAGCTTTCCCCTCCCCCTGTTTAACCAACACCACTTGACACATTTACTTCAGATGCTCGGATCTGTTTATTCTGTCCTTTGGTGCCCAGAGCCTGGGTATAACCCCACCCAATTGTCCCTTTTGTTTAGGTTGCAAAGCCAAGTCCTGCTAAGGTGTTGATGACTAATAGGGATAGTTCATTACCACTTCAGGGATGTTGGTGTTTTAACAGCTCTCCCCTGGATACTTGAAACAGTAGAGTGGTATAGTGGTTACAAACTGCGGCTCTGGGTCTGAATCTCTTTATGTCTCTGACATTCTAGAGAGTTAATACTTACCTTGGTGGTTAAGAGATTTAACTCAACAGAAGACAAACCTTGGCTGTGGAGAGGAGTTGGTGAAAAGTGCCCACTACAGAGAGGACCCATATAAAGAGTCAGTGAATTACTATTTGTAGAGCCCTTGAACATGTCTTCAACAACATCCAAAAAGGTGGCTTTCCATTGGTGCAATTTCAACTTTCATGCAGGTTGTTCTTTATCATGCTCTTGAAATCTGATCTTATAAATGTTACCTGGTCCTCTTCCTTGCCAAGGTGGCTGTCCTTTGGCATCCACATGTATAGGACTTAGGGAGTATGTGACATAGTTATTAAAGTATTTTTCTCCAGATCTTTTTCTTTTTTTTTCTCCAGATCTTTTTTTTACATTTGTAGTAACACTAAGTTCTCTCCCGGGTATTTGCTGAATTGTTCATTTTGAGTAGCTCCAAGAAGGGGTGTACAAATGGGGCACCATTTATTCCAGTGTAAAGATTGAATTCTTCTATAAGTAATTAGAGTTGGACCCATGCTGTGATAATGGATGGTTGCCATCTTGGCCCCAGTTCCAACTGGCACTGGCTGCTGCTGTGAATTAGAGGGACCCACACACACACACAAAAAAGGAAATCCCCAAACTACCCTGTGAGGCAAGACCACTATTACCCTGTATTACAGATGAGGAAACTGAGGCACAGAGAAGAAAAGTAACTTGCTCAAGGTCACACTTTCTGTAAGTGATGGGGTCAGCATAATGTTCTTGTTTGGCAGGATGCTGGTGACATTTGGGGGGTATGAAATGTATTGGGGGGCTTGTGATTCCTTAGGTAGCTCTCACTGCTATTTTTCCCCTTAGGGTCCGAAAGATTTTAAACTTACGTGTGTTTGAGGATGAGAGTGGAAAGAACTGGTCGAAGAGTGTGATGGACAAACAGTATGAGGTGCTGTGTGTCAGCCAGTTCACCCTTCAGTGTGTCCTCAAGGGCAACAAGCCCGACTTCCACCTGGCAATGCCCACGGAGCAGGCAGAGAGCTTCTATAACAGCTTCTTGGAGCAGCTGCGCAAGACGTACCGGCCGGAGCTCATCAAAGGTAGGCAGGAGGGGCCTGGGACACTTTGGAGCAGGGGGACAGAGAATCTGCAACTGCAATCTTTCCTTTGTCACAAAGTTTGTTGTTATGTTTATTACTGACTTAAAACAACATGATGGCTGCTGCCACTGCTTGTTGCTATACATGTCCTCTGAATGCCCGGATACCGTTTACCCTTCTTCATTCTTTTAGTCACATTTGAAAATGCTTAGCAACCCAGAAGTGTGTTTGATGTAGTGGTGTTTTATTTTGGTCACTTACCCTACCTGACAGAAATACAATGCAAGCTACAAATGTGAGCCACATGTCATGTTACATTTTATATTTAAAAAAGTAAAAATAAACAAGTGAAATTAATTTTAAAACTGTATTTTATTTAGCTTACTATGTCTAAAATATTATGATTTCACCATGTAATTAATATAAAAAGTTAAAATGAGATAGCATGTATATTTTGTGTACTAACGTCCTCTAAATCTGGTGTGCAGTTTATACTTACAGCACATCTCCATTTGGGCCAGCCACATTTCAAGTGCCCCAAAGCGGCGAGTGTGCAATGGCTGTAATATTGGACATAGAGGTTTAGGTTTTTGCCTACCTGCTTATTGTCAAGAATGCCAACCTCATTTGACTAACCAAGATTTAGTCTAGAAAATGGCTTGGTGGAATAGTGGTCCTGGTTTGTGGGAGAATTATGAATCTTTTTTTTTTTTTAATATATTTTATTGATTTTTTACAGAGAGGAAGAGAGAGGGATAGAGAGTTAGAAACATCGATGAGAGAGAAACATTGATCAGCTGCCTCCTGCACACTCCCCACTGGGGATGTGCCCGCAACCCAGGTACATGCCCTTGACCGGAATTGAACCTGGGACCCTTGAGTCCGCAGGCTGACGCTCTATCCACTGAGCCAAACCGGTTAGGGCAAGGGTGGGCAAACTTTTTGACTCGAGGGCCACAATGGGTTCTTAAACTGGACCGGAGGGCTGGAACAAAAGCATGGATGGAGTGTTTGTGTGAACTAATATAAATTCAAAGTAAACATCATTACATAAAAGGGTACGGTCTTTTTTTTTTTTAGTTTTATTCATTTCAAACAGGCCGGATCCGGCCCGCGGGCCGTAGTTTGCCCACGGCTGGGTTAGGGCATGAATCTTTTTTAAAAAAATATATTTTTATTGATTCTAGAGAGGAAGGGAGAGGGAGAGAGAGAGATAGAAACATCAATGATGAAGGAGAATCATTGATTGGCTGCCCTCCTGCATGCCCCCTACTGGGGATTGAACCCACAACCCAGGCATGTGCCCTTGACCGGAATCGAATCTGGACCCCTTTAGTCTGCAGGCTGACGCTCTATCCACTGAGCCAAACTAACTAGGGTGAATTATGAATCTTTTAAAGAAGGCCATTCATTTCTAGTCTGTTTTCATGGGGTTAAAGTGCATTTAAGATCATCATGTTTTGCCTTTAAAAAAAATTTAAATTCTTTATTGTTTAAAGTATTACATATGTCTTCTTTTTCCCCATTGGTCACTTACTGGCCGTTCCCACCCCCCCAGCATATGCCCTCACCCCACTACTGTTTGTGTCCATGGGTTTTGCTTATATGCATGCATACAAGTCCTTTGGTTGATTTCTTACCCCCTCCCCCCCCGGCCCCTGCCTTCCCTCTGAGGTTGTATGGTCTGTTCAATGCTTCTGTGTCTCTGGATCTATTTTTGTTATGTTATGTTATTTTTGTTATGTTATGTTATGCTATTTTGTTTTGTTATGTTATCAGTTTATGTTATTCATTATATTCCACAAATGAGTGAGATCATGTGATATTTATCTTTCTCTGACTGGCTTATTTCGCTTAGCATAATGCTCTTTAGGTCCATCCATGCTGTTGCAAATTATAAGAGTTCCTTCTTTTTTACAGCAACATAGTATTCCATTGTGTAGAAATACCATAGGTTTAAAAAAAATATATATATATATATTTTTTAAAATTAAATCTTTATTGTTCTGATTACATTTGTTCCTCTTTTTTTCCCATAACTCCCCTTCTCCCAGTTCCCGCCCCACCCTCCGCCCTCACTCCCCACCCACTGTCCTCATCCATAGGTGCACGATTTTTGTCCATTCTCTTCCCGCATCTCCCATTCCCCTTCCCCCCCCCCCCAAGAATAGTCAGTCCATTCCCCTTCTATGTCCCTGATTCATTGTAATCACCAGTTCATTCTGTACATCAGATTATTTATTCACTTGATTCTTAGATTCACTTGTTGATAGATGCATGTTTGTTGTTCACAATTTGTATCTTTACCTTTTTCTTCTTCCTCTTCTTAAAGGAAACCTTTCAGCATTTCGTATAATACTGGTTTAGTGGTGATGAACTCCTTTAGCTTTTCCTTATCTGTGAAGCTCTTTATCTGACCTTCAATTCTGAATGATAGCTTTGCTGGATAAAGTAATCTTGGTTGTAGGTTCTTGGTATTCAGCACTTTGAATATTTCTTGCCATTCCCTTCTGGCCTGCAAAGTTTCTGTTGAGAAATCAGCTGACAGTCGTATGGGTATTCCCTTGTAGGTAATTGAGTCTCTTTCTCTTGCTGCTTTTAAGATTCTCTCTTTGTCTTTTGCTCTTGGCATTTTAATGATGATGTGTCTTGGTGTGGTCCTCTTTGGATTCCTTTTGTTTGGGGTTCTCTGCGCTTCTTGGACCTGTAAGTCCATTTCTTTCACCAGGTGGGGGAAGTTTTCTGCCATTATTTCTTCAAATAGGTTTTCAATATCTTGCTGTCTCTCATCTTCTGGCACCCCAATAATTCTGATATTAGTGCGCTTGAAGCTGTCCCAGAGGCTCCTTACACTATCTTCACACTTTCGGATTCTTTTTTCATTTTGCTTTTCCAGTTGGGTGTTTTTTGTCAAATCTTTGGTTTGATTCTTGTGCTCCTCTGGTCTGCTATTGGGTATAATATTCTTTATTTCAGTCCGTGTATGCTTACTTTCTAATTTCTTTATCGTAGCATCGAGGGTCTCATTAGTTTTCGTGAGGCTCTGCTCAAGTTTATAGCAAGCCCTCAAAATTGCGATTCTTAGCTCCATATCCTCCATTTCTGTCATGTTTTTTTGTCTCCGCATCTTTTATGCTTTCTTGGTGCACCCCCTTGTGGTCTTTGTGCGCAGTCTTGTTCTAGCCAAGCCTTAATTGTTGTAGTTAACACTAGAGGGATTTGACCACCAGGCCGACTGGCTGTAGGAATCAGTGTGTGGAAAACGTCTGTCTTCTGGGAAGGCGCTAATCCAGCCTTTGCCTGAGGCGATCGGCAAATGGCTGTGCGCAGGGCTTGGGCGGGGCGGGATCACCAGGGCGGGTGGAGGGAGCAGTTATGGCCGCTCTCAGTCCCGTTCCCAGAGGCTCTGCTTCTCAGAACCCCGGCAGCCGCTGCAAACCTCGGAGAGAAAGCTGCCCTCAGGTTCCAACTGATGCCGGATAATCCCGCTTCTCCCGTCTGAGTCTGAATCCCTAGAGACTCGCCCGGATCTGGAGCCCAGAGTCTGAGACTCACTCCCGACCGAAAACGACAACCGCGCCCTCAGCCACCAGCCCGCTTTTGCGCGCACCTCGGTACCTTTGTATTTTCCACACTGCGCCTCCTCTGAGCCTCGGTTTGCTGTTCTCTTTCCTTCTAGTTGTAGAGTCTCTCTTCAGCCAGCCTTCCTGTGGTTCTGGGTGATGTCCGTTCCGTCTTTTAGTTGTATTTTTGAAATGGTTGTATGCGGCAGCGGTCTCCGGTGTTTACCTACGCCGCCATCTTGGTCTCTCCCAAAAATATATATATTTTATTGATTTTTTACAGAGAGGAAGGGAGAAGGACAGGGAATTAGAAACACCGATCAGCTGACCGCCCCCCCCCCCCACTGGGGATGTGCCCGCAACCAAGGCACATGCCCCCGACTGGAATTGAACCCGAGACCCCTCAGTCTACAGGCCGACGCTCTATCCACTGAGCCAAACTGGTCAGGGCAAATACCACAGGTTTTTAATCCACTCATCTGCTGTTGGGCACTTAGGCTGTTTCCAAATCTTAGCTATTGTAAATTGTGGTACTATGAACATAGGGGTGCATTCTGATTGGCGTTTCTGGTTTCTTGGGATATATTCCTAGAAGTGGGATTACTGGGTCAAATGGGAGTTCCATTTTTAATTTTTTGAGGAAACTCCATACTGTTTTCCCCTGTGGCTGCACCAGTCTGCATTCCCACCAGCAGTGCACAAGGGTTCCTTTTTCTCCACATCCTCGCCAGCACTTGTCGTTTGTTATGTTTTGCCTTTTTTTCTTCAGTTGGTTATTAGAAAAGAATGTTTAGCCTTTTTGGTAATGTACCTCAATAAGAGACCTTTCTAAGTAGATTGCTTCTTTTGCTGCCATCATATCCTTTTGTAGACATCGAGTAGTTATTATCAGTTAACTCTAATATTTCCTACACTTTAACTTTCTCTGGATTAAACAAATCTAGATCTCCTCTTTATTTGATTTATTTTTTAAAAATATATTTTTTTTATTGAGAGGAAGGGAGAAGGAGAGAGAGATAGAAACATCAATGATGACAGAGAATCATTGATCAGCTGCATCCTGCACACCCCACACTGGGGATCGAGCCCACAACTTGGGCATGTGCCCTGGCTGGGAATCGAACCATGACTCCAGGTTCATAGGTTGATGCTCAACCATGGAGCCATGCCAGCTGGGCTATTGGATCTATTTTCAACTGTAAGTGATAAAAGTTGTTGCCTGATTTTGAAGCTCTGCAGCAAAGGTCCACATTGAAGTTTGTCAGCTCATCAGACTTGATCATGTTTAGAAGAGTGATATTCCTACCCCCTTTGGAATGTCCTTTTATTTTAATTCTCCTTTTACTTGTATAAAGTTTCCATTTGCCATAAGGACAAATGGATTCTATATGATCAGGACACTCCTGCCTAAATCAAATTCCAGTCTTTACTTGGGTC